TACTCTCTGAGAATCCCAAGCATCATGCTGCGAACCAATACCGTCTCCACCTTCCTCGCTCGTGATTTTGTTCTGCGACTGATTGACCAAGGCCAAATCCCTCTGCAGGGTAAATTCTAGCTTCTTGTTATGAAATCCATATTAGTTAATTTCTTGGAATGACTAAGCTTTTTAGTTTTCACATATATCCTTATTATTCCTACCACCAAAAACTGCAGGTTCAATAATGGAGAAGCCAGTGCCGGAGCATTACCCACTCAGATACAAAGATCTGCCCACAACCATTTTCAAGTCACTGAACAACTTCGTTGAAGTGGTTAAAAATGTCCGGCTCGTGGGTTCGAGTTCGGCTGTCATCTGGAACACGGTGGACTGTCTGGAGAATCCGCTTCTGGGGCAGGTGAAGCAGCAATGCCGAGTTCCAATCTTCACGGTGGGGCCGATGCACAAATCCGCTCCACAGCTCTCCACCAGCTTGCTAAAGGAGGACTACAGCTGCATCCCATGGCTGGACAAGCAGGCAGAGAACTCGGTGATCTACGTGAGCTTGGGGAGCGTGGCCTGCATTAGCGAGCACGAGTTAGCCGAGATGGCATGGGGCCTAGCAAAGTGCAACCTGCCCTTCCTGTGGGTCGTCAGGCCCGGCCTGGTACGTGGGACTCGGAATGTTCAACAGTCGCTGCCTAACGGCTTCAAAGAAGGCGTCGGGGAAAGAGGGCGGATCGTGGAATGGGCGCCACAAGAGGAAGTGCTGGCACACAAGGCGGTAGCAGGGTTTTGGAGCCATTGCGGATGGAACTCTGCCGTGGAGAGTATTGCTGAAGGGGTGCCCTTGATTTGCAGGCCCAACTTCGCGGACCAGAAGGTGACTGCAAGGTATGTGACCCATGTATGGAGGGTAGGCATGCAGCTTGAGGAGGAACTGGAGAGGGACGCGGTGGCGGCCGCTGTGAGAAGGTTGATGGTGGAGGAAGAAGGGATAGAGATGAGGGAAAGAGCAGTGGAGTTGAAGGGCAGAGTGGAGATTGGGACCAGGAGAGGTGGCTCCTCGTTCAAGGATCTGGATAGGCTGGTAGATATGATGAGGTCGTTCTAATTTGTCTGTTCATTTGTTTGTGCGCGTTGGCTTGCCTGGGTGAGTTTACTTCTCTTCCAGATTTCTCAGTTTACCCCACATATTGTTTGTTCTGTTACTTCGGATCACTTGTGATCTTACTCTTATCCTAGGATGTCCTACCGCTGAATTTTCCCTATGCAACATCCGTCCTCCATTACAGTTTTACGATTCTTGGTTTAGATAGAACTGCTAACGATCTTTACACAAGAAAACAGAGGGTAAAATTAGGGATGGAAATTGTGGTGGGTGTGGTTACCCACCCCACATTTTGCGGGTAACCACACCACAAATATAGAGTTATACTACCCACAATCCGCCCCGCAGTGGTTAGTAGGGGTGGCTATGCGGTCCGGTTAAATTGGATCAAATTGATCCGGTCTCAGTCCGGTGTTTTCGGGAATATAAGGACCAAAAATTGGCAGTCTGGTCTTGATTCGGCCCGGTCCCAATTTGATCTTGATTTTAGGTGTCAGGGGGGTCTCTTATCCGGTCTTTATTCGGGTGTTTTACCTCAAATCTAAGCCCGAATATGAGATTGGATTGTTTGTTATCCGGTCCCAGTTCGGTCCCGGTCCGGGTTATACGGTCTAGTTTCAGGTAAAACCAAACAGTTCGGACCAAATAGCCAGCCCTAGTGGTTAACCACTACCCGCTGCGGGTTGGTTGAGGATACCCACAAAAATTTCACCCAACCCACTAACCACAAAAATCAATATTTTGCTATCCACATCCAACCCACTATCCACAAATTATGGGTATGGATATCCATAAAATGTGCGGTGTGGTGTGGTTTGCGGGTTACCCGCAACCCGCAAACCAAACTTCCACCCCTAGATAAAAGGAAAAAATTCCAAAATACATATGTTTTAAAAAAAATTCCCAAAATACACACGTTATAAAAAAATTTCCCAAAATACACATGTTTGGGCATCACCGCTGTTGTCAACCGCAGTGAATGCATTCACCGCGGCAGACCAAAGCGGTGAATGCATCACCGCGGTTGACTGCCGCGGTGAATGCCTGACGTAACACTGAAACTTCAAACAAACGTAACTTTGCGCTTGGTTATCCGATTGTAGCGAAATTTTTTTTTTATTCCATATAACTTTTCAAGATCTTTCAATCTGAAACAAGACTTCATCCCCCAAAAAAATCATTTGCTACCACGAACGAGCAATTTTTCGATTTTAACAAACTTTGGAAGATCATAACTTTGTGCTCCACAATCCGAATGTCATGAAACTTTTTTTGATTTTGCATAACTTTTGAATTAATACAACTTTTATTATAACCATAATTTTGGAAAGTATGTGGATTGTTGAAAAGTAAAGGCAAAGTTATTCCCAAAATCCCGTACACCCAAAAATACTTCTTTTTTAAAAAATTATTTCCTAGTCAAATTTGTAGTTCTTAAAAAGTTATGCACAATCAAAAAAAACTTTACGACGTTCGGATTGAGGAGCTAAAAGTTATGTCCTTCCAAAGTTTGGAAAAATCAAAAAATTGCTCGTTCGGGGTAACAAACGACATTTTTTTGAGATGAAGTCTTGTTGCAGATTGAAAGATCTTGAAAAGTTATATGGAATCAAAAAAAATTTCACTACAATCGGATAACCGAGCGCAAAGTTACGTTTGTTTGAAGTTTCAGAGTTAAGTCGGGCCTTCACCGCGGCCGTCAACCGCGGTGATGCATTCACCGCTTTGGTCTGCCGCGGTGAATGCATTCACTGCGGTTGACAACAGCGGTGATGCCCAAACATGCGTATTTTGGGAATTTTTTTTATAACGTGTGTATTTTGGGAATTTTTTTTAAAAACATGTATATTTTTGAAATTCATCCTAGATAAAATGGCTTGTATATCATTAAACTTTAATAATTGGGTGAGTTATACCACTTAAGTCGAAATTATACATCGAATACCACTAATAGTCTTTTGTAGTAGTTCCATACATTTTTCAATCCATAAGAGTAATATGGTAGAATTAAAAATTATTTATTTCGCCACATACATGTGTCAAAGTCACCAAAATAATGTTGACTCTATTAACACTAATAGAAACACAACCCACTTGCCCATTGGGCTCATAGTAGCAAGGGAATGGCGGCGGTTGCATAGGGCAAGGCAAAGCAAGGGTAACTGTTGGAGGTGCAGACAACATCGATGTTGTTCAAGGTCCACGAGGTGACCGGCAGTGGCGTTGCAGGTAGTATGTGTTTCGACGACGAAAGGTTTTGTGGAGAGTTTGAGGAAGATGAAAGGGTGGGGTGGGCCGACGGGAAGATGATTTTTCCTTTTTTAATTTTTATTTAAGTTAATGAAAATAAATTTTAAAAAATCCAGATATGCAAGTTTGTGGATAATACTGCCACATCAGCAACAAACAAACGATGTCTACTCAGCATTTGTGACTTTTCCGTTAAATTATTAGATGGAAAAGACTATTTTAGTGTATTTTTCAAAAAATTACTATTATTGTCAAAATCGCGAAAGTTATGACTATGCAGGTGTATTAAGCCAATACCAAATAAGTCCTTCATTATCAATCACTGTTAGATGTAACTTAAAAAATGAATGGTGATTATAGTTGTTAGTATGGTGAAGTTAGCACCCTAACTTCTCCCCAAATCCGCAAGACTATGAACAGCTTTCAAACATACTCAACTAACATGAACAACCCCTTTAGGGACCAAACTGAAATAAACAAAAAAAATGACCTAGTTTTGACGAACTTAATTTAAACGTTGCTTCTTGCCACCAACTCCGTCAACTTCATGCTTCTTCAACAATGCGGGTTCAAATCCAACAAATATATATAACTTGTGACTTGTGAGCTAGATTAGTAGTGTAAATCACAGGCTAATTAGATGGTGGCATGTGAATTTTTCATCTTAAGGTTTGGTTTACACCATGAAGTTAAACACATTATACGAACACTAATCAATGGTGATAAAATTTGAGTTGGGTTGCATCGTCATCATGAATCCACTTGAAGTATATAGCCCAAATATTCATAAAAAAAGTTAATATTTTTGTATGGCCTGAACTTTGACCAAAATAAATATATTGGCCAATCTTTTTGATCTATAACATCATGACCCGAACTATACATCAAAATAAACAATTTGGCCAAATCTAACTTTTGACCGTTAACTTGGACGGTCAAACGCGTTGACTAATGGTCAAACGCGTTGACTAACAGTCAACGCGCCATGTCATCACCCAATCAGCTTAAATAAACTAAAAAAATTCACATATTTCTCAAATATTGAATTTTAACTAGGGTTAATACCTTATTTTGGCCCGAACTATAATCATATAATCAACTTTAGTCCGTGGTTTCAGAAATTAACATCCTGGCCTCAACTATACAACATATACACTCAATTGGCCCGACACATGGATTGATCGTTATTTTGGACAGTCAACATCATTGACTGTCAGTCAACACGCTATGTCATTGCCTCGTCAGCCTAAAAATCATTAAAAAAATTAAATTCAAATTATTTTCCTAATTTCTATTATTATCAAATTAAATATAAAATAAAATAAAATAAAATTATAAAAACATAAAAATATTTTATTTTTTTATTTTTTGAAAATGATAAATTCTATAAATTAACCACAAATTATCAAATTATTTTAAAGTTTATTTTTTGGTTAATTTGAAAATGAAAATAATCAAAATTAGAAAATAATTTGAATTTGAATTTTTTTAATGATTTTTAAGGTAATGATGCAATGATATGACATGTTGACTAACGATCAACGATGTTGATCGTCCAAATTAACGGTCAAACAATGTGTTTAGCCAATTGAGTCTAAATGCCACATAGTTGATGTCAGAATGTTAATTTCTGAAACCACGAGCCAAAATTGATTATATGGTCATAGTTCAGGCCAAAATATGCTACAGTCAAACAATAAATTGTTGAAAATAATTTTCAGGAAAATGAAAGATAATTTGGAAAAATAAGATTGAGTATCCTTTATAAACTATATCTAAACTATATCTGAACCTTATTGACAATTCCCCTGAGCAGAGATTATCTGATAAGTGATAACAACAACCCGCACCATGCCGGTAACACGAAAAATGGATATTATCTACTATAAGCAGAAATTAGCACAGAATTGTTTGGCATGGTAACATTAGTTCCCATAGTGAACAGACTCAAAATGGTTTGGTACCCTTGCAACATTCCAAGACGCAGAGAAATCAAGCTAAGCTCTGCATTTCACATGGGACGCTGACCACCAGCACTTAGCATCTGACCTACTAGACCGTTCACCTGCAAGAGTAGCCAAGAACTTACAGTGTGTAAAACTGGAATGCAAATGTCTATAAACTAATTAGGGACTTGGATGACATTATGTTGTCGGAAAATGCTAACAAGTTCATGACAGAACTCCTGAGACAAAGATAGAAGCTTACCAGCCAATACTTTGAAACGCAGCGATCGATGCAGCTATTCTCGCCCATGTTCAGCTCAGACTCCTTGTACCTGAAACACAGGGAAGCACCTTCTTTTTAAAGCCAAGCCAGATAGATGACCGACTGCCATAAAAATAGAGATGTAAACCAGAGGAAACATGCCTTTTGTCAACACACTTGCTGAAGCAGGTCTGTGAAAGCCTGAAACAAGAAAAATCAAATAGCATACTGAAGCCTTCAAACATTTCAGCCTTAAAGACTACTCGCTAACACAAAGACAATGTCTGGGCAAATAATTTCCATGGTGACAGACAGCTCAAGTATGCAAGGCCATCAAGCAACGACATACAATGCAAGGACAATTAAAAATCTTTCTCAATACAGTGAACAAGGAGGTCACAAACAGTTCTCAAACCCTAAACATACAAAATCACAGAGACCAACAAGAAGATCATGACAGTTAAATAAAGGGATTGTTCAAATGAAAGGAAACATGAACCCAAAACATATCCAATCTAAGCCTACAAAGTTGGATCGAAGACTTAGATGACTAAGTTACCAAGAGAAAATGCAGACGCTCAGCTCAATACATCAGATAGAAAGGGACTTGTCCAGAAGCTTACCTGTTGAACAACTCCACTCTGTATTCCATCTCAGTCTCCGCCATGCCAAAGGCCTAACACACCATTTTCCATCAAACACTCAAATTCATCGAACACGCATTAACCCAATCTACGATCTATATCATAACCTACTAGTAAAGATTCTTTCAACGAGATAGCAAAAGTTGTACAATTTGAAGATACAAACGAGATGCAATAGCTTGAGCGTAACAATCAGTATCAGCAAGAATAAGGCGTACTACAGACAAACTCGAGTGGCAACGAGCCAGAAGCGGTGGTTACCTGTTCTTTGGTCACACCAGCGGGGAGAGGGCTATTGTTGGCAGCCATTAGAACCTGAAACAACAAAGACGCTGGCGCTGAGAAACCTTCGCCCGATACAGCTGCTACTTGCAGAAGCAGAAAGAGCAGCAAGAACTTCAAATTGGACCTGATTGCCGATGGCGGTTGGGATGAATGAAGATTAGGGCTTTGAAACCGGTATCCCGCGGCTGTCAGATGCACCGCCAAGAAACGAAAACCCTTCTGTGTTCGTGGAATAAGCAAGCGATTTCCGGTTAGGGTTTTAGGATTTTAGGTTTTAGTCTTTTAGTCCGACGGCTTACATCAGGTGACTAAGGGTTACGTAGGTTAGCGTGGTTATACGGTCCAATCCGGTTAAATTGACCCTAATTAATCCAGTCTTTTTTTTTTTTGAAGAAAATTAATCCGGTCACAGTCTCGTTTTTTAGAGAATATTAGGATAAAAAATTGGATTGGATACAGTTCGGTCTTGATCCGGTCCGATCTCAATTCAGCCTTCATTTTAGATTGAGCTTGTGGGGATTTGAGTGGCATGAGGCCTGAAAGGGTGAGGAGTTGGTTAAATTTTGGGTGTTGAGCTCTTTTATCTGGTCTTTATCCGGTTTTCGGTTCGGTCCCGAACGATTTTTTATCTCAAATCTAAGCCCGAAGATGGGATTGGATTGTTTGCTATCCGGTCCTGGTCCGGTCTCAATCCGGGTTATAGGGTCCGATTTCGGGTAAAATCAAAAAGGCTGGACCAAATAGTCATCCCTACCTTAGGTTGTCCACAACCCGGAGGCTAAAAGGTCAAAATGGAATTTTAGCCCCCCCCTCCCCCCATTGTTGCTTCAACTCATGGCTAGCTAAAAGGTCAAATAGAGGTTTTGATGAGCTAAATTAGCTCTAATTTGGGGAAGGGCAAAAGGAGTGGCTAAATGACCGGGTCCCTCAACTAGCAAAAAATAACCACATAAACAAGTAAAATGACGTGTTTTGTTTTTGGTTTTATTTAATTAAATTAAAATAACGTGTGTTGTTTGTTTTTTGTTTTTTTCAACTGAAGAATTCATTTAGGTATCATTTTCGTTCGTTTGAATGTTATTTGAAGAAAAAAATTAACTAAAAACAACAGTAAATTGTTCAAAATCTTGGAGATTTTGATGAATGAAGCTCATTTCAGTGAAATTTTCTTCCGTTTCAATTAAAAACAAAGTATCTCAGAAATTGTTCAAATTTTATCGAAATGTCTGTATCGAATTATCGTGAACGAATATATAAATTTTAAATTAAAAAACATAAGTTTAACTACTCATAAGTTAGGATTACTAAAAACAAAACAGAATTTTTTAGAGTGGTGATTTCATATTTTATTTATTTAATAATTAAAAAATATAATTGAAACCTCCCGCCTCCCTTCTGTCCCGCCGATCAGCGATTCCTCCCGCGCCTCCATCGGGCAGGATTTTTTCCGGCGTCCTACCTTGCTTTTGTGACCTGGGAAATATTGTCCCAGAGAGAGAGGTGGCCTGAGAATTTCCCCCCGTTTCCTTGCGCGCAGAGAGAGATATATTTTCCGGTGGCATTTTTCCGACAACGTTTTCCGACGACGGAGGAGGCTTCCCGATGACCGGAGATGGCGGATGAGAATTTTCCGGCACCAGTGCTAGATTTGTGATGTTTGTCAACATACTTTGTAATGCTTAAAAGTCGGGTTTGTAATGTTTATATTATTTTTAGTTTGTATTGTTTGTCATTTTTATCTATTATTTTTGTAATATTTATATGACATATTTGTATATATTGTAATTTGTAATGTTTGGTTGTCTAGTTTGTATACTTTATGTTATAATTTGTATATTTTGTATTAATTAATTTGTCATACAAGTTTACTTATTTGTATCTTAAGTAGTGATTTTTTGTACAGTTATTGTGTTTTGTAATGTTTGTTAAGGTTCTTTTGTAATGTTTGTAAGCTTTGTTATTTTTGTCCAACATGTTTGTCAGTTTTGTCAACCATATTTGTAATATTTTTTTATGTATAAAAAACAACGTGGTTGACTTTTGGACGGAACTCCTCTATATAGATATGGACCCTCCAAAGTCAACCCGAGTGTTTTTTTCATTTTGCATGGTTTGTCGGTCTAGTTTGTCATTTTTGTCCACTATGTTTGTAATGTCTGTATATCTAAAAAACAACCATATTGACTTTGAAACGAAACACCTCTATATATGGATGGAGCCTCAAAAGTTAACCTGGTTGTTTTTTCGTTTTGTATGGTTTTTATTGTTTGTCGGTCTAGTTTGTATTGTTTGTATAGTTCGTATGTTTTGTATTGTTTGTAAATCTGTTTGTATGTTTAGTCGTTCTAGTTTGTATTTGTTTGTATGGTTTGTACGGTTTGTAAGTCCGGTTTGTATACTTCGTAATTTTTTATAATACCCAAAATTATCTCTATCACTAATTAAAAAGCCCTTCTCACTTTTTGACCGTCATATTGGTGTGTCCAGATCTAAGTGCAGGGAGGGGCTTAGTCAATTGTGAAGTGACTAAGCACACCCTAGTCACTTGATCCGCCTTCGATGCCCGACGGGGGGTTAAATTGTGGAGCTATAACTGTAACTTCGGAATCTCCAACTTGCATTATAGTGTACTAAACATTTATTTAAACGTTTAGGGGTGTTCAAACGTAGGGCTGTTAATGATTCGAGTCGAGTCGAGCTTTGCCTTGTTCATGTTCAGCTCGTTTATAAACGAGTCGAGTCGAACACGAGCCAGCTCATTTATTAAATCTTGACACATCATTAAGATCGAAAGTTCGCTCGAGCTCAATTCTAAGATAATTTATAATATAAATACACTAATATTTATATGTCATATGTGATACATGTGATTATCTAATGTTATGTCATATATGAGACGTATTTGCTTACATATACTCAATCTCAATGTACTAAACACCATATGAGGTGATATATACAATTTAATAATTATATGTATCATTAACAAACCAACTAATAAAATATAGATTGATTTTCTCATAAGTTGTAATCGAGTTAGCTCTCTAGTCACAATGTTGGGACATCGCATAAGCTCAAAACGAGACAGTTCATGAGTTGTATTCAACGAGTCACCAAATCGAGCTAGTTCACGAGCTTCACGAGCCGAACAAGATAGAGCTCAAGCTCGGCTCGTTTATTAACGAGTCGAGCTTTTTTTTTAATCGAACGAGTTTTTATCGAGTTCAAGACCGAGCCGCTCACGGATAGCTCGACTCATTAACAACAATCAAACATAGTGGTTACCGTAGTAATAATTTTAATTATTAGGATTTCGGATAATTTGGTTGGTTCGGTTTAGTTATAGTTTTTTTTTTCAAGGCAAGCCCAGAGAGCATGGGACAAAGACTCGACTCAGATACAAGTAGACTCCAAAAAAGGACGGTAATCCGTAAGCAAGCGGATTCCCGATGAAAGAGCTTGATTAGCCACTACATGGGCAGCTCTGTTAAAGCTCTGAGGAGCAAAATGACACGACACTGACTCAAAAAACGAGAAAAAGGAGTGAACTTCCTCCAAGACAGCCCCTGCTCGAGAGTGAGAAGCGTTTTTTGCCATAACGTGCTTGATAACCAGTTAAGCACCATCACATAGCGTCTCTAAGAGCTAGAAGCTCGGAAATGTAAGTCTCCGAAATTCCTTCATAATATTTACCAAAAGCAAAGGATAACATACCGTCTCTCGAGAATCCCACAAATCCGATTGAGCCTCCTTGGTTTTTCTTCATGGCTCCGTCAAATCTCACCAGGATACCGTTATTAGGGCATATGGCATCTAAATGACTCCTTCGAGATCCTATTGGATTGTTAGGACTCGTCGATGATCTCTGGACACCTATCCGAGCTTTCTATCCCTCCGCCGTTCGACATTCCTCTATATGCGTTGTTAGTTGTCGGAACAAAACTCGAGCTTGTAGTAATACTAAAGCATAAGTAGCTTTGCATCTTCCTTTCGAAATTTGCCAGAATACGGAAACCGTATTTGTGAAACCCAAGAAAGATGGGCATCTTTTGTTTGCTTGCCTTTGTAAAGCCCGATCCAGGGATGGATGGACAGGCACAAGCTTTCTGGTCCACCTGACCTTAAAAGCTCGGTTAGGCACTTTTCGTTGCTCTTAACTCATCGGCAAGAACAGCCTCCACTCGCACTTCTCTCAACCCCTCTTTGCTTTCTAAACATGTGTTTTTTTCATGATTATCTTTTTTGTTTATGCACTCACTCCCGCTCTCCCGGAACCTAGGGATAACCCGCCAGCCGAATACTCGTGGAATTATCTCCTAAGCCGAATGAACCCTGCCTCAGCCTCACATTCTCTCCGGATACCAGCCGCAGGATTCCCCTCGCAGAATAATCGCGCTCCCTAAGCCGAATAACCGCCCTAACCAGCCCAATCAGGTCTAATCACCAGCAGAATGAACATGGGGCTAACCACTGTGAATTATCATATATAGTGAATATTATTAACCCCATCGACAATCTCGATCTTGGAGATATGAGTAGCACAGAATAGATTTTTCCATGCTAGATCTGGTTGGAAGGAGCGCATTGAGTTTCTACAATACTCCAATCCAGCCATAATCCATAACTCTTTTGCAATCCTACATTCATAAAAGCAATGATTAATGTCCTCGGTTGGCTCACAACACACAGGACACTTGCTAGGCGTAGTCAATTTTTGAATTTGCAGCATTCAGCGAACAGGAAGGAACCCCCCGAACTATCCTCCAAAGGAAAATTTTCAGTTTTTGTGGCACTGGTATACTCCATAATGATTTCCAAAATTTTGTGTCCAAGTAGTATGGTATACTATTATGAAATGGGTTGATTTTATTTGTTAAAGGGTGGTACCCCGATTTCACTGTATATTGACCAGATTTATCATAGTGCCAGATGAGTTTATCTTCCCTTGGATACGAGGGTAGAGGTATGGACAGAATTAGTTCGGCAGAAGCTGGATAGAATAAAGATCGAATCTTGTTAGAGTTCAAGTAAACGTTATTGGATCGATAAGGTAGGATACTATTGGATCGATAAGTTATAGTTTGTTTAGTTAGCTGATTTGGTTTGGTTTTAGATTAAGATAACCAGAGCACAAAGCGAGAGCGAGCGACAGAGCATCAAAGAGTCAATTTCTCAAGAATTCAATACTGAAAGCGCGAATAAAACGTTTATATTATATTATTTTCGTTAATAATTTGTTTTTTCCTCAAAATATTAGATAAAACATTAGCAATATTATCAAAATTTACTCCCATTAATTATATTTTAATATTTACATAA